CGGTGCGGAGTCCGGCCCAGGGCAGGACTTAGAGCCCTTTGGGGTTTGATCCCCCTTATGCCCGGAGTCTGGGAGGTTGCCTTGCGGCGCCTCCGGGACCTCCTCCTCCTGGCTGGGCCCCTTTTGGGACCCCACCTCGGCGTCATACGCATCGCGAGGAGAGGAGACGGCCGGAAGTGAAGTGCTATTCACGTCCGACAGAGCCAGGGAGTCGCTCGTTGAAGTGTCGAGCCCGTCCCTGGGCGGGCTGCCGGGTTGTATTCGGCGTTAAGAGATTCTATACGACAAATGAAGCACCATGAGTTATTCTGGTATCCGGATACTTACGATGTCGCTAGGGGCTTAGCCCTCGGCGGCCACTCCTCTTCGCCGTCGTCGGCGTTGGTGGAGTAGTCCGGAGGAAGGGTCCTTCCCTTCTTGGACCCTCCGGCCTCCCCAGTTGGGGCGGCCTTCCTTTTCTTCTCTCCCCCCGTTGGGGGAGAGGCCTTCTTTTCCTCCTCCTCATCTTCACGGTAGGAGTCCGCCTCAGAGTCATCGGATGATGAGTCCGATAACACCTGGCGCCGGGAGCTCTTTCGAGTTCCTGTGGCCTTCTTCTTGGCCTTCTTCTCCGACACCACGTGACGTGCCGGAACCAGCAGCCCCATCAATCGGGCGTCCGCTGGGTCTTCTGGCAAGGGAGCTGGACAGTTAACCTGCCCGGACGTCTTCTGCCAGGCCTGTCAAAGGTAGGGGAGTTTATATCCCGCATAGATTCAAACTATGAAAAACAAGTGTCCTATAAAGGGTAAAATATCTTACCTCGCTGGCTTGACGCTGCAAGCTGAATCCGCAATCTTCGGTAGCGGATGCGGGAGCCTCGGCGCCCTTGAACAGCACCTTCCAGGCATCTTCATACGTGGTGTCGAAGAGCCTGCTCAAGGTTTGGTGCTGTGCCGGATCAAACTCCCACAGATTAAAGGCCCATTGTTGGCACGGGAGGATCTGGCAGATGAGCATGACTTGGACTATGTTAACAAGCTTGAGCTTCTTGTTCACCAGGGTTTGGACGTAGGTTTGGAGTCCGGTCAGCTCTTCCGAATCACCCCATGTCAGGCCCGTCTCTTTCCAAGAGGTGAGCCGTGTAGGGAAGCCATATCGGAATTCGGGGGCCGCTACCCATTTGGGGTCACGCGGCTCGGTTATGTAGAACCACCCCGATTTCCACCCCTTTATGGTCTCCACGAAGGAGCCCTCGAGCCATAAAACGTTGGGCATCCTGCCCACCATGGCACCTCCGCACTCCGCCTGGCGGCCGCCCACTACCTTCGGTTTGACATTGAAGGTCTTCAGCCATAAGCCGAAGTGGGGCCGGATGTAGAGAAAGGCCTCGCACACGATGATGAATGCCGAGATGTTGAGGACGAAATTCAGGGCCAGATCGTGGAAATCCAGGCCGTAGTAGAAAATGAGCCCCCAGACGAATGGGTGAAGTGGAAAACCTAGTCCGCGGAGGAAGTGGGTGAGAAACACCACCCTCTCATGGGGCCTGGGGGTGGGGATAAGCTGCCCCTTGTCAGGGAGCCGATGCATGATGTCGCTGGACAAGTATCCGGCTTTCCTCAACTTTTTGATGTGTCCCTCCGTGACGGAGGAGACCATCCACTTGCCTCCCCCTCCGGACATGGCTGGGGAAGGTTGAGGCGAGATGTGCAGACTTGGGTGCTGGAGCTCGAGTGCACGGAAATGGATGAGCAAAGGAGGAAGAAGGCGTGTGTGAAAAGTGGATCTTTATCCCCTTATATGGACGGACGAAACTGTGTGTCCCCACCAGCCTGGTAAAACTCGCTTATCTCCCAAGCGCCGTAATTGATGGCACGGTTGGTTTACCCACGCCCGTATTGATGATAATCCCGGAATAAGGGGACACGATCTCTACTTTGACAAGATGTGCCAAGGAAACCGCCTTGCTAAACGCGCTGAGGTGGGACAGTAAAAACGATTCGAATAAAGGCTTGGCCGTGGTGTGACGTCACGCCACGGAATACGTCAGCAGATTGAATTTGTGTAAATATTATTCTCTCTACGGTGGTATGTGGAATTTATTTTGCAAAGCCGGACACTATCCTTGTGTTCAAAATCTTCTATGAAGTATTCGGAGGAGGAACCCGCCTTGCAATGCCGAAGACAATATGCGCGTCGGACTCGTCGTCATTGAAGCCTGGTTCAGGGGCTACTGAGGGAGTCCTGGATTAGGGGGTGTCTGGATAGCCGAACTATCACCATTGGCTGGACTCCTGGACTATGAAGATACAAGATTGAAGACTTCGTCCCGTGTCCGGATGGGACTTTCCTTGGCGTGGAAGGCAAGCTTGGTGATACGGATATGTAGATCTCCTACCATTGTAACCGACTCTGTGTAACCCTAACCCTCTTCGGTGCCTATATAAACTGGAGGGTTTTAGTCCGTAGGACGAACAACAATCATACCATAGGCTAGCTTCTAGGGTTTAGCCTCTCTGATCTCGTGGTAGATCTACTCTTGTACTACCCATATCATCAATATCAATCAAGCAGGAGTAGGGTTTTACCTCCATCGAGAGGGCCCGAACCTGCGTAAAAACATCGTGTCGCTTGTCTCCTGTTACCATCCGCCTAGACGCACAGTTCGGGACCCCCTACCCGAGATCCGCTGGTTTTGACACCGACACCCCCCTCTACAGTATTCCACCTCGGTCATATCATCGTAGTGCTTAGGCGAAGCCCTGCGCCGGTAACTTCATCATCATTGTCGCCACACCGTCGTGCTGACGGAACTCTCCCTCGGCCTCAACTGGATCAAGAGTACGAGGGACGTCACCGAGCTGAACATGTGCTGAACACGTAGGTGCCTTACGTTCGATGCTGAGATCGGTCGGATCGTGAAGACGTACGACTACCTCGTTGATAAAACGCTTCCGCTTTCAGTCTACGAGGGTACATAGACAACACTCTCCCTCTCGTTGCTATGCATCACATAGATAGACTTGCGTGATCGTAGGATTTTTTTTGAAATTACTGCGTTCCCCAACATATTATGCATGAAAACATAGTAAATAACAGTAGGTAAACATGATGCAAAATGGACGTATCAATGATCACCCAGTTATGAAGTGACGTTTGATAGCACACAAGGTATTCTTCCAGTATCCGGGAGTGACATGATCTCATTGTGTAAGGAATAGATACTTAACATGAAGAAAGGTGTAGCAAATAACAAAGTGATACGATGTGATGCTAAGCTTATGGTTAGGTCTGTCCATCACATCATTCTCCTAACGATGTGATCCCGTTATCAAATGACAACTCATGTCTGTGGTTAGGAAACCTTAACCATCTTTGATCAATGAGCTAGTCTAGTAGAGGCTTACTAGGGACATTGTGTAGTCTATGTATTCACACATGTATTTAAGTTTCCGATCAATGCAATTCTAGCACGAATAGTAAACATTTATCACGAACGAGGATTATGATAATAACTATTTTATTATTGCCTCTAGGGCATATTTCCAACAAATATTCCCCCTATTCTCACATTAACGATTTTCTAGTGAACCTTTTGTTATAATATGTTATACCTTTTGCTTCATAGTACTTTACAAAAACTGAGGTGAGATATATCAGTATCCCCGTGAGACCAACACATGTTCGCTATACTAGTCTCCTTGTTAGTGGTTTTGTTCCTTTTCTCACTCCCGTGTTTCGGCATCCCCGTGATCCAATTCACGCTATGTCTGGCCATATGATGGTGGATGCCGTCACACCGAGAGGGTCCTAAGGATACCACTCCATCATCGAAGGAGTAAATTCCAATTTTGGGCTATATAATCCCTCATCATATGTTTTTGATGAACCTATAAGTTGCCATTGTGATCACCCTATTACGGATGACGTTGGAACAACCCCAAAGTTCACCGTCCGGTATGGAGTGACTCGATACTCTCATAGTCTAAGGAGTCATACAAATGTTAACTCTCGTGTTATGGACTATAGACTTTAGACGATTTCATCTTCAAGTATAACAAACAACTTGGGTCAATTCAACATGAGTGTTCTACCAACTTCATGCTCTCAAATATTGCCGGCATTATGGTCATGCCCATGATCACGAAAGCAGAATCTACAGTCAACACTTTGAGCTATTCCTAGAGGCAAGACTAGGAATCTTGTTTTACCGTTTCTAACTCTAGACATGCTCATAGTTTTTTCCGAATTGCATATTCAGGTACCATAACAGTTATAGCACAGAATATTAACAATAATTATAAACTTGGAAATAAATCATACTAAAATATTATCGCCTCTAGGGCATATTTTCAACAAAATCCATTGTGAAAAATGTTGGCGTTTCGCACAATCGAGGGGATGGAAGCGATGTAAATGGGACGCCCCGCTTATAGATTGCTAATGTTCTACTATAGGTCCCAGTTTTGGGAACCTTTTAGAGGGTTCTTTTTTCCTATTATCGGGGCTTTCTTTTCCTTTTCCCATTTCTCTTTATGTTTTTTTAAAATCAATTATTAAAAAAGTTATTTTTTATTTTTATTTTATTAAAAGCATTGCAATTTTGGAATAATATTCATGTTATTAGGAAATGTTCTTTTTTTAAAAAACTGTTCACAAATTTGAAAATATGTTTGTGCTTTCATAAAAGGTTTAGGTTTTTAAACATATCGTAAATTTTCAAAAATTCTTTGCGTTTTAAAAAATGTTTCAGATCTGATTTTTTTAGAAAAATGTTTACATTTTGAAACGCTACAGTTTGGGTCGCTAAAGTGTTTCGTGGTCGAAATGGGAAATGGAAGTGCATTCGGTTCACGTAGCTTAATGGGCTGGCCCGGTTCTTGCACGGGGGCAATTTTTTGACGTAAAGAGCTCTATATTAGTTCTGGTCCAATCCAGGCCTAGCCTCCTCTTCCAAAACAAAAAATGGGAATATCTAAACCCTAGCTGCGCCACCTCCATCTCCTCCTCCACCACCAATGGCGCCGCCGTCGTCGTTGAGGAAACTCCAAGAGCTGATGAAGGGCAAATTGAGCCCCGGGGAAAATTCAATTAGGGATAAGGATGAAGAGAATCCGGAGGTTGCGCTTGTTTCAAAGAAGGTGAACAAGAAGTGGAAGAAGCTGCCGGGTACCAAGAAGGGGGAAGGGCGCGACGTGGATAGGCTGGTCCGGGAGGAGGATCCCGAGGTTGTGCTTGTTTCAAAGAAGCTGAACAAGAAGCGGAAGAAGCTGCCGGGTACCAAAAGGGGGAAAGGTGCGACGTGGATAGGCTGGTCCGGGAAGAGGATCCGGAGGTTGTGCTTGTTTCAAAGAAGCTGAAGACACATCCGGTGAGTGAACCGAATGCATCATCGAGGGAATCGATCTGGGAATCCAGTGAGCCGCTCACGGGTAAGAAGAGAAAAGAGGGGAAAGGCCACATCGTGCTGGTCGGGCAGGATGGTCCGGAGGTTGCTCCTGTGGCAAAGAAGTGGAAGCCAGATCCGGTGGCAAAGAAGTGGAAGCCAGAGCCGGTGCCAGAGGACATTCGGTTGAGTGCATCATTGACTGTTATTGTTGCTTATGCTCCAGACATGCCACACAGGTTATTTTTGTAGGGCCACTTTGATTCATAGAGAGGTGAAGGAAGAGCATAATAATAGGAAGTTCCCTATGGTTACACTATTTATCCATGTGATTCAAAGGAATGGATCATAGGATTATTTTTTTGGGTTTGAGCTTCATAGGAGAAAACAAGGAATTTTACAATCCACTCACCTCAAATTAGATTTTTATTATGCACAAAGATCAAGGCAAATAGTATTAACTAGTAGAATAGTATTAATTTAATCTTACCTTTGCATATGTTCTACTTAATCTGAGTATGCCTATTAGGGTTTCATGTGTTTTTCCTATTCATGCTATCAAACACGCAATCCTACAAACTTATTCTACTCCTAAGTTTCCCTATGTTTTTTTCAAATTCTACGAATCAACCATGTGCGTGTTGTAACCATGCAACCATGCAACAATCCGTATTAATCTAAATTAAATATTTTTGTTAGGTATGGACATTTGCTAAGGTCGATTACCTTTCTTCTGCCTTACAAGAGTGAAGGGAAGGCATATGAATGTGATCCCAACACAGTGAAAGATCTGATAAGTCGAACCAGATGTGGTTTATGTCTTTTCTTTGAGGTAAGAAGAATAAAACTCATCTAAAAATTTAATTTACTAAGGTAATCATGAAGTTTATTTATTTGTATATTGTGTGATGTCCATTTCATTGTGTTTACATTAGTCTTATTTTTGTGGCAGTGGGTTCAAAGAGATAAGGAGATGTTTTGTTGGATAATTAATATATCGAAAAATAATTCTACTCAGTTACTTGTAAATCCAGGTAAAATTCAATAGATTTTAAAGTTTGTTTTTCAATATATATCACCACATATTTTCGTAGTACCAAGCCTAGATAATAAATGGAGGGTAGAGTTGTGAGACTACAGTTTTGCCCCTTGATCTACAACATACAGTGAGGGATATTATGGGCTTTAAGGGAATCCTAAAGGAATATTCCAGTTGAATATCCCCACACAATATCATATATCGAGTAATCCTTGTTGGGTGAAGCGGCATGAGTGTGACGACCCTCACATAGAGCGTAGCCTTTGGTGATGATGTCCCTCTTAACAGGTCGCCCACGAGTGCGTGCCCAGCACCCGCAAAGGACAAAACCTTGATGGAACCCTCGGCATTGGGCTTCCCCCTGGCAGTGCCTGCTACCCACGTGGGGCACCTTTTGATGGTTTCGTCTGCGCTGGGCATGCCTTAGGGCCAGTACTTTTGGTGGCCTTTTTGGGCTTCCAGAATAAGTTCCCCCTACCCAGCTTATTCTAGAAGCCCAACCAAAATTTTCATTTTAGAAGCCTACTAGTTAAGTCTTCACTAGGTGTCTTCTAAAAGATAATTTTGGTTGGGCTTCTAGAATAAGCTGGGTAGGGGGCAGTTTATTCTAGAATAAGCTGGGTAGACGTGTTGTATCCTTACGTCATGCGAGACGCCTTGCATCATATCGTCGTGAATTAGTGCGAGAACGCTCCTCCACACATATCTTAAATTATTATTGTGATTTTTTACTTTTTGTTGATGATTTAATTATGTTTTCATTTTCTTTTGCAGCATTTGTATCAGAAATGTCAGAAGTGAAAGTTAAGCGTGCAGCTTGTGCTTTCTCATTAAACTTCTGTAGTGATAAAAAATGGGCTGGTGTAAAGAATGCTTTGGAGATGGTAAGAATGTGTTGTAGTTAGTGTTTATTTATCTTTTTATTTATGTACTTCATGTATGAATGCCTGAATGCTATGTCAAACTCCATAGGTGTTTTCTTCACCTCAACACAAGACATCTGAAGCTCCTGATAATATGTATGTCTTCACAAGGATAGATGATTGTGTCTACTTCAGAAATATAAAGGTATCCAATCAGCCCACCTTTAAAGTGTTTTTTGTCATGTTAACATTTTTGTAAATGCCACTACACCCATAGTCTACTTCAGAAAGATTTTTGAGATTGCCAATATACCCATAAGTCTACTTCAAAAAGATTTTTGTGAATGCCAATACACACCCATAAGTCTACTTCAGAAAGACTGGCTCTGTTTCGGTATGAATATGAATTCATGTTTATGTTTTTCCTAATATTAGTTTATTCTATATCATCTAGATTAATGATTTCCCCAATATTGCCGAAGGCGAGCCATTGGATCTGAAAGAGGTGTAAATTCTCATCCTTATTAATTTCATTAACTCGTACCTAACAGTTATAAGATATGCACTGCTCATGCCTAAACATTATTAAATGTTTGAAACATTCAGGTTGGACCTTATTTTTGCCTGAAGCTTGTGGATATTCATGGAGAGACTGCTGTCACATATCTACCTTCAGATGTTGTTCCACAAAATAAGGTAACGTAATTTACTGTAGTTACTCTCTCTGTCCCATAATATAGTGTGCATTGGTTTTCACAATAGTCAATCTTAACAAACTCTGGCCCAGTTTATATACAAATTATCTATATCTAGAAGAGAAAAGTCCATTTCCAAGAGTGGCGATTTGGCACCTGGATGTGAAAAGTAAAATCAAATAAAATAGCATTTTTTCAATCTATTTTTTTGGCATACAAGATGCCTGAATGTATGATGTGCGTGCCCAAAACAAGTTTGCAAAAAACTGAAAATTGGTTGTGAAAGGAACTTTAAAAAAGAGCACTATTTGGACCTGATATTGGTTGCTGATAATTTATCTATAAATTTGGTTAAAATTTACAAGTTTGACTTAAAAAAACTAATATGCACTATATTAGTAGAATATTGGTTTATTAGCTAATAATATTATATGAAAATTCATTTGCAGATTAAAGTGTGTCCCATTCAATATTGTAGTTTGTCACCTGAATTGGGATCTTGCATAGCACCTCATTCCCTCTACTTGAATGGCGAAAACTATACGATCCTTATGGAGAATGGTCATGATTTGTCAGCATTTGAGGGTTATAATGTTAGCCTTGAGGAGTTTCTTGCAGAGCAACCATTATTGAAAATAAAACATATTGTTGGATAAAAAACTGGCGAGGAGTGTTTGTTTGTGACAAACATTGCCAAGTATATCATCAGATCCATCCTTGCATACCTTGTTAAGCTCTTCTCTCGTGACAAATGTATCAAAATGAAGATAATAGGGCGCAAACATATCTTTCTGAATGGGTCCAAAGTCAAATTCTATGGGGTGGAATTTGTACATTTTGAGGAAAATCAAGCAGAAGACAATGTAGTGTGTGTTGTTGGGTTAATAAGAGGATGCTTCCCTAAAGACCTCATCCCTAGTGATTTAAGTGAGATGCTTGATCTTTTGCTATCAGATCCTCTGCCCAATCTTGAAGCAGGGAAAGGTGATTGCTCCCTGCTGTCAGCAAAAGAGAGGACAGAACTCTTGGTTCTTTTGCATACCGAGTACATGACAAATGTAAAACCTATGTTATGTGGTAAAGATGGCGACGATCCAAATGGAAATTTGGAAGATTTCTTCGTAGGGTGCCTGAGGGAGTCCTGGACTAGGGGGTGTCCTGACAGCCGGACTATCATCGTCCGCCGGACTCCAAGACTACGAAGATACAAGATTGAAGACTCCGTCCCGTGTCCGGATGGGACTTTCCTTGGCGTGGAAGGCAAGCTTGGCGATACGGATATGTAGATCTCCTACCATTGTAACCGACTCTATGTAACCCTAGCCTCCTCCGGTGTCTATATAAACCGGAGGGCTTTAGTCCGTAGGACACAACATACATTACAACAATCATACCATAGGCTAGCTTCTAGGGTTTAACCTCCTTGATCTCGTGGTAGATCCACTCTTGTACTACCCATATCATCAATATTAATCAAGCAGGACGTAGGGTTTTACCTCCATCGAGAGGGCCCGAACCTGGGTAAAACATCGTGTCCCTCGTCTCCTGTTACCATCCGCCTAGACGCACAGTTCGGGACCCCCTACCCGAGATCCGCCGGTTTTGACACCGACATTGGTGCTTTCATTGAGAGTTCCTCTGTGTCGTCACCGATAGGCTTGATGGCATCTTCAACCAACAACGCTGTCCAGGGTGAGACTTTTCTCCCCGGACAGATCTTCGTATTCGGCGGCTTCGCACTGCGGGCTAATTCGCTTGGCCATCTGGAGCAGAGCGAAAGCTACGCCCCTGGCCGTCAGGTCAGATTCGGAAGCCTAAACTTCACGGCCGATGTCCGCGGAGACTTGATCTTCGACGGACTCAAGCCGCAGCCGAGCGTGCCGCACCGTGACGATGGGCATGATCTAGCTCTGCCGCCGAACAGTGCCTTGGTGGCCGCACATGGATCCGCTTCGGCCATCAGTCCGGAGCCGATCACCCAGATCGAGGATCGGTGGATGGACGCCGCCTTGGGGGCTTTAACTGCTACGGCGATGGAGCCGAACACTAATCTTGTCCCTCGCAAAACTCGTGATTCCGAGGTGCCGGACTCCTTGCCGGACTCCGAACCTCCCGCGCCCCTACCAATCAAATCGGATCGGGCGCCGGTTATGGAATTCATTGCCACGGACATCTTCCAATACTCGCCTTTCGGCGACATCCTGAATTCACTAGAGCATCTCTCGTTATCAGGAGAACCCTGGCCGGACTATGGCTAGGTTGGTTGGGGTACGGACGACGAAGAAATTCAGAGCCTACCCACCACCCACTTTGTAGCCACTGTCGACGATCTAACCGACATGCTAGACCATGACTCCGAAGACATCGATGGAATAGACGACGATGTCGGAGACGAACAAGAAACAGAGCCTATAAGGCATGGGAGGACCACCTCGTCATATGACATATACATGGTGGATACCCCAAAGGAGAGCGATGACGAGGACCAACGGGCTGCGGCAGAAGATAACCCCGCCGATAAACAACCAAAACGGCGACGCAGACGCCGCCCTAAGTCCCGCCTCGACAACAACAACGCTCCCAAGGACCCCGCATTACAGCAGGGCACAGAAGTGGACGACGAACATGCAGATAAGCAACCGTCCGAACATGACGAGTCAGATAATCAGTCCAGACAGTCACACTGCAAGAAGACAGTCCGGACGACCTCATGCCGGACACGCCGCCGGAGAGCAAAAACCTTCGGAAAAGACTCGTCAACACTGCAAGAAGCCTGAAGAAGGAAAAGCGGAAGCTCAAAACAGCGGAAGACACACTCAGAATGAGATGGAACAAAGTGCTCAAAACCGCAGATAAATACGGCAATGGCACCAATCAAAGAGCTACCCGAAGCGCAAGCTGCTACCAGAATTCGACGACGAAGCCATAGAGCCCCCACAGTCAAAAAATAAAGAGGCAGCCTGGTTGGATAGACGACCGGATGACAGGCCAAATTCGGAAGGCGGCGCCACACATAAACCAACCAGCGAACTTGGAAGGACAGATGGCCCAGCCAGGTCCATCTACGGGCCAAAGAAGAAGGCCCCAAGAAGCAAGGCAACACGTCAAGTGTCCGAAGATAGCGGCACACACAAATACAGGGGCGCCGCACACCCACTATGTTTCACCGATGAGGTGCTGGACCATGAATTCCCAGCAGGATTTAAACCCATAAAAATAGAAGCCTACGATGGAACAACAGACCCTGGAGTCTGGATAGAAGATTATATACTGCATATACACATGGCCAGAGGAGACGATCTCCACGCCATAAAATACCTACCCCTCAAGCTTAAAGGGCCAGCCCGTCATTGGCTTAAAAGCCTCCCAGAAAACACTGTTGGAAGTTGGGAAGAGCTCGAGGACGCGTTTAGAGCAAATTTTCAAGGGACTTATGTCCGCCTTCCGGATGCAGATGATCTAAGTCATATAACTCAACAGCCCGGAGAGTCAGCGCGGAAATTCTGGAACAGGTTTCTCACCAAAAAGAACCTAATAGCCGAAGCCTTAGCAGCTTTCAAACACAATGTCCGAGACGAATGGCTTGCCAGGCACCTCGGCCAAGAAAAACCGAGGACAATGTCCGCACTAACAAGCCTCATGACCCGCTTTTGTGCGGGAGAGGATAGCTGGCTAGCAAGATGCAGCACCAGCGACCCAAGTACATCCGAGATAAGAGATGGAAACGGAAAATCACGGCGCAGAAAAGTGCAGCGCCGAAATAAAGAGAAAAGCCCAAAGAGCACGGCAGTCAACGCCGGATTCAAAAGCTCGCGGCCAAACAACAAAACACCGCCTCTTAAGGATGACAGCGATGAATTGTCCAACTTAAACAAGATTTTGGGTCGGATATGTCAAATCCACAGTACCCCCAGAAGGCCTGCAAATCACACCCACAGGGATTGTTGGGTTTTTAAACAGTCCGGCCGACTAAACGCCGAACACAAGGGGCTCGACGCGTCAAGCGAAGAAGATAAACCCCACCAGCAGAGCACCGGAAAACAAGACTTTCCCACAAGAGGTCAAAGCAGTAAACTCACTTCATGTGATAATACGGAAAAATAGTGCGGCACTTCCTAAAAAGAGCCTCGCACAGTCCAACCCAGCAGACCATAGAGATTGGATATCAAAACCAATCACTTTTGACCACCTGGACTATTCCAGAAGCGTTCGAAGCGCGGGACGGACTACCTTGATATTAAATCCCATAATCTCATAATGGACGGAGGCAGTGACTTAAACCTGCTGTATTCAAACACAATCCGCAAGATGGGGATAGACCCTACCAAAATTCGACACAGCCGCACCTCCTTCAAAGGAGTGACGCCAGGCCCTTATGCCAAGTGCACAGGCTCCATATTACTAGAAGTTGTGTTCGGATCACCGAACAATTTTCGGCGCGAAAAACTAATTTTTCACATCGTCCCATTTAAAAGTGGATATCAAGCACTATTGGGACGAAAGGCTTTTGTCCGTTTCAACGCCATACCACATTACGCGTCTCTTACACTCAAGATGCCCGGTCCGCGTGGCATCATTTCAGTGCGAGGGTCACTCAAAGACCCCGGACTCGGATAGACGAGTCCGGCTTCAGCAGGCTAGGGGTTCCCTAGCCGCACACCTCTTCACAGTGGGCTGTGCGCACAAACAACCGCGGGTTCGTACAAATCCCGCTTTACTTATTCATATTTCTTCTTTTACACATATATTTTTCGCACAAATTGTTTTCAAACTGAGCGTTCCTCTCTTTTTACAGATGAACAACATGCATACCCGTCCAGGATAACGGCGCAATGGAGACACAGGTGCAGACGTGCAGTAGGGACCCGTTGTGAGGATTCTTTTCAGATTAAGACCCTGCGTAGACCTTTTTTACTGTCTCTTGTTGTTATTATCCCTTGGTTTCTTCCTATAGCCAAAGCGGAGCCTGACGTTTTGGCATTGGCCGCGTCAGAAGACCATGCCTGTACCTAGACACCAGGGGCTTAGGGCATTGTTCTGCCCATTATTATAAAGACCGAACACCTCAGGGAGTGTTCGGTGTCTCGAGTTAGGCATTATATGCATCAGCTCCGAATCATGTCTTTGGTCAAATGTTGGGTTTGCCCGGCTCCTGTGTTTTGCTGCCTTACGTTCCGTATCATCGGCTAACATGGCACCAGGAGAACTACTGCGATTGTGCCCCAGTTCGGCTGGGCGAGCACCTCAGTAGAGAAAGCCGAAAACTGACTGTCATGATATAGCGAGAGACTGGGCAACCACTCGATCGACCACCGGAATGTTTAGAATTCCCCGCTTTGACGAAGGACCGTTTCCCGGTCAGGCACACACGCGCCCCGAACTCGGAGAAGTGCGGTGCCCCAAGGGGCTATATCGTAGCCCCACCCTCGAGCTCCACTGGCTAAGTGAAAGTGATAAAGCATTATAGTCCGGATTGCCTCGTTTGCTACGCTACCACCTCCTTAACAAGACCGAGACGTCGGATTAAGTGTGAAAACGCGCTATTTTTGCGAACACCCCCGCACCTTGTGCGTGGGGGCTGAAGCCGAAGACTGCAATCTTTCAGGTTATACAAGTGTATACGTAAACGGCCGCATAGGAGAAGTTTTACTACTTGGGACGCACAAGTATAAAAAGCAGTTATAGCATAATCATCGTTTTACAAGCTAAAACGTTCATTTGAACGTGACATTTTTTGAGCACTGCGACTCTATTACATGAGCGCCACGCATAACTTCCCCGAAATAGTGCTCGGCGGGGAGCCGGTCTTCATCCGAGCCCGGGGCGGCAACAGCGGTGGCATCCATCTCCGTCCAATGCGCCTTCACGCGGGCAAGAGCCATCCGCGCGCCCTCGATGCAGGCCGACCGCTTCATCTCCTTGATATGCGGCACCGCCCCAAGGAATTGCTGCAGTAAGCCGAAGTAGCTCGTCGCCTTGGGCCTCTCTGGCCAGACATGAGCTACGATGTCAGTCATGGCAAGTCCGAACAACCTATTTAGCTCGGCCCATTCGGCCAACCGGTCGGTCAACGGAAGTGAGCGATCCGGACTATGGAATTGAGACCAAAATAGCTCTTCCGTCTTGTGATCCTTCTGGCTCCGGAAGTGCTCAACGGCATCAGCCGCACTTACCGCTAAGTCCATATACGGATCCTCTGGACTCCATAGCCGATCAAATTGAGCATACTTTTGATCCATAAACCGGCGACGCAGCAGATAAGGCTTGCCAGCCACAATATCTCCGGCCTGGCGCAGCTCCTCCCTCATGGCCTACATTGCAGAGCGGGCATCCTTGGCCTCGGCGGTGGCCTTCTTCAGGTCTTCCCGCTCTGATAGGCGCTCCTTTTCAAGAGCCTCATTGCGGTCGGCAGCATCTTTCACTTTTACGGCCAATTCGGCCACCTCTTCCCTGCTTAGGCAGAGAGCAGCCTTTTTGGCTTTCAACTCCTCGGCCGCCCTCGAGGCAGCCGTGTCACTCCTTCGGGCTTGCTCCTTAGCTTGAGCAAGTTCGGCCCGAAGGCTCTCCACAGCAGCAGCACCGTCTGTACAACAGCATATAATTTATCAAGAGGAGGGCTTTGACCCCCTTAATAAAGCGACTGCGGACAACTCATTTACCTTGCGACTCGTCAAGTCGCCGGTTGACAAGCGTGATGTCCGCATCCGCCACGTCAAGTTGCCGCATTAACTCGGCAACTCCACTAGTCCGGCTACCCCTTGGACTATCCGCCACCTGCATAGGAATGGCGACATTAATTACTTGCGATCTTGATCCTCGGCACGCTGTCGTCTTCGACAACCTACCGAGTCTCGGGGGCTACTATCTATACAGGGCGCATTTTTATGTGCAAAACTGTTAATAGACAAAGGGATGCGTCATTTTCGTGTACCTCAAACCCCGCCAGCAAACTCATGGCGGCATTGCGCAATCCGCTCTCGGCGGACGAAATCCTTCCAATCACCATACGCATCAACGCACGGTGATCTTCTGAAATGGACGCCCTCTCAAGCAGATTCTTCAGTTCTCCCGGCCGGATACTAGTGTGTGCCGAACTCTCTGGCCCCTCCGGACTCGGGGATACCCTCCGTGACGATACTTCAGGCTCGTCCGCTTTATCTGACGGCGTGAAAGACGGAGGCGTTTCGCTCTCCATCATCTCCGGAAGAAGGTCCCCCGAAGATGAACTCATCTGAGAAGGCTGCAGATCCGACCTGCAAGATAAACATTTCGGTCACCCACAGAAGCACAAATGGAGGTATTTCCTTACTAATTAACTCCCCCTTTTCATACTCACGGCTCGCTGGAGGGCTGATCCTTTGGCGATGATTGTGTGTCCGGACTCTCCCCGGACGCCGGACCCCCCGGCGAAGATCTCTTTCCCCGCTTAGGGGCTTTGGCCTCCGGATCTTCGGAGGCGGTCCTCTTATCCCCTTGGAGGGAGGGGTTTTTAATTCCCCCCTCTTCAGACGCCCCTTTGGGCGAAATATTAGCTCCTCTATTTTCCCCATCGCTCCCTTCTGTGGGCGCGACCTCCAGCATTCTGACCAGCACGGGCTCCAGTGCGGTCTTTGGGAGGGGGGCCGGACACCTTATCAGCCTTGATCGCGCCACCCACTCCTGTGAAGAGTAATGGGTCAGGAGGCGAACTCTAGAAAGGCAGATAAACGGAATGTCCGGACTCTGAGCTATTTACCTGAGTATCCGGGCGATTGCGGCTTAGGCCTGCGTCCTCGGCTAATTCCGGACACGCCACCTGCGGTCCGAAGAACAACTTGTACATCTCCACGGGTGTTGCACCCATGAAGTGTTGGAGAATCCGAGGTCCCTCCGGGTTGAACTCCCATAGACGGAGAGGACGGCGTTTGCAGGGCAGAAGATGCCTGATTAGCATAACCTGCATCACCACGACCAGATTGATCTCCCTCGCTTGGAGGTCTCGAATCCGTCCCTGCAGTGAGGGCACGTCTTCGGACGGCCCCCAATTGAGCCCTTGGTTGACCCACGACATCAGTTGGCGTGGAGGTCCCGGGCGGAATGAAGGCGGCGGCTTTTGCTTGCTGCCCTTCAGAGCGGTGATATAGAACCACTCCTGCTGCCACAGTCCGAGTTCCTCTTGGAAGGAACCCTCGGGCCACGGGGCATCGCCCTTTTTGCTTATGGCCGCCCCGCCGCACTCCGCTTGACGCCCCCCGATCATCTTCGGCTTCACATTGAAGGTCTTCAGCCACAGGCCGAAGTGGGGAGTGACGCGGAGGAAGGCTTCGCAGATGATAATGAATGCGGAGATATGGAGGATGGACTCCGGAGCCAAATCATGAAAATCCAGCCCGTAGTAGAACATGAGCCCTCTCACGAAGGGGTCCGTCGGGAAGCCTAAACCCCGATGGAGGTGGGATACGAAGATGACATATTCGTCGGGCTCGGGGGTGGGCACGGCCTGCCCTTGGGCGGGCAACCTGTGCGAAACCTCGTAGGCCAGGTACTTGGCCTCACGTAACTTCAATATGTCCTCCTCCGTGACGGAGGAGGGCATCCACCGGCCCTGGAGGTCGGAGCCGGACATGGTTGAGGATCCGAAGCGCTCGAATCTGAGGCTCTGGGTGTTGGAACTGGGAGCGAGGAGGAGATTCGATGCGAGATTGAAGAACAAGAACGAGCCTTGGTCCTCTTATAAAGGGGAAAAATACCAAGAGCCGTCTCCGTGACCATTTGGGATTCACCTTCGATAGAGGAGGTGTGGCGACGGGAACGGTTGGGTTACCCACGCACGTATTAATGAGAATCCCGGAATAAGGGGAACACGATCTCTGCTTCGACAAGACGTGCCAAGGAAACCGCTTCGCTAAACGTGTTGAGGTGATATAGTAAAAAACGATTCAAGCAGTGGCTTGGTAGCGGTGTGATGTCACGCCGCATAATACGTCAGCAGATTGAACTAGTGTACATTTTATTCTCTCTGCGGTGGAATGTGGAATTTATTTTGCAGAGCCGGACACTATCCTGGTGTTCATGATCTTCTCTGGATTATTCAAGGGAGGAACCCGCCTTGCAATGCCGAACATTATGCGCGCCGGACTTATCGTCATTGAAGCCTAGTTCAGGGGCTACTGAGGGAGTCCTGGACTAGGGGGTGTCCGGACAGCCGGACTCCAAGACTACGAAGATACAAGATTGAAGACTCCGTCCCGTGTCCGGATGGGACTTTCCTTGGCGTGGAAGGCAAGCTTGGCGATACGGATATGTAGATCTCCTACCATTGTAACCGACTCTGTGTAACCCTAGCCTCCTCCGGTGTCTATACAAACCGGAGGGCTTTAGTCCGTAGGACACAACATACATTACAACAATCATACCATAGGCTAGCTTCTTGGGTTTAGCCTCCTTGATCTCGTGGTAGATCCACTCTTGTACTACCCATATCATCAATATTAATCAAGCAGGACGTAGGGTTTTATCTCCATCGAGAGGGCCCGAACCTGGGTAAAACATCGTGTCCCTCGTCTCCTGTTACCATCCGCCTAGACGCACAGTTCGGGACCCCCTACCCGAGATCCGCCGGTTTTGACACCGACAGTGCTCGTACATAGAAACATGGGTAGACACTATGACAAAAAACACTTACCTAACTGAGGTCGCCAGTTATAACTCGGTACTGGGGGTTTTGAAACTGGAGAAGAGAAAGGAGGAGAACAAAGAGAAGTTGGAGAATGAAGAGGATGACAATAAAAAGCTAATACAAAAAGGAGAGCGACAGTTTCATGTTCTAAGAAATTGTGATGTACATATTCCTGAGAAGGCTGCAAAGGTAAATCAAGTTACTTGTTTTGTTCCTTCCATTATAATATATATTGTACCCTCTGATCTGTATTCTTCTTTCCAGGATGGAATATGTCCATTTCGTCTGACGTGGTGTGACTACATCCGTACGTGCTACTTTCGAAAGTATCTCTCCTTTGTGCAAAGCCGCATGGAATCTTATCTAAAGCCAACAAGGTGAACTCACCGGTTTGTGCGTGGCGGCATGCCGCACTTCACTGATAGGTTTGTGTGCTAGTCTTCTATTTTGTGTAAATTTTCACGTGTCTATTCTTCTTTTTGTTTTCGTACCTTTTTATGGCTCACAATGAACTCTTCAATTATGTATTTTGTCTAGACTATTACTCACAACACACCGTAACTGAATATAATATATTGATATAGAAATGTAACGCAAAAGGCAGCCAAGTCATGATTTTGATTAGACTATTGACCAATTGCACCCTGCACTTCAGCTAGCTTGCAGACATGTGTCATAGAAAATTTGTATTTGATGACCGAGACCGATCAGTGCACAGGGGATGTTTATCCCGAGACATCAAGATAGTTTGAACACAGGTTATCCATTTTTTACGACACAAGACTTGTCCAAAACCTGAAAGTACAGAAACATTCATGTCACCCTCCTAGCCTAGAAGACAGTGACATTGACCAAATCGAATTGTTCCTGTGAAAAAAGAGAGGTGGTTTCATTTTGATGTGATTGCAGCAAAGCCAATTGATATTGTTATCGATGTAGTGATGTTAAATCATCAGTTACTAATGTACTGTTAGAAAATGGCCCTTTGTTGGCAGATAGTATAGTAGGGAAGGTACAGAAAGCAACACCTTCAAATGAGTTCATGCTCATGGACTCATGGTAGTTTTTTCTTGGAGGGCTATCTTGCATTTTCTTGTGAATGCATGCTCTACAGCTTTGTTGGCATCCATTTTCTTTCTTGGGGGAGACCGTGAACACAAACTCATAAGCTTTGTTGGATATTTTTCCGTCCAACAATATATTCTTCATTCATACTTTTGGTAGGCTAGTCCACGATGAGATTGTGTTTTGTTGATTTAAGTGGTGTGGTATGTCAGTTGATCGATTGTTACTGGTTATAGCTAGCTCAAAATGTTGTTGAATTGTTATATGCACATCACAGTACTGTAAATTTTCTTGGAAATATGCATCGGGTTGTGTAGTCATCTATGCACACGTGGGCTAATGATGGATCTTGTGTTGATTACATATATATGCATCTTGGGTGTTGATCTTAAGGTTGCCACTCCTGGGAAACCGACATTAGTGTATATTATTCTGAACATTATACAATTCGAATAGTGTTTATACAATTGAAAAGCTTTGAGGACTATTTTTTCAAGCTGGTTTCAGTTTAACATTCTTTTCTTGCCAAATGATGGCTTTCATGCCATGGTCATCTAGGAATAAAAGAGTACAATATTTTATTTATGTCAAATTTGAACTAAAACCATGACACTTATTATGGAACGGAGGGAATCAGTGTGTGCATATTATGTTTGCATCTATTTCATTGAGAACCATGCATATGTGCTTACATATAGTTTAAAATGTGATACTGTATAGTAACTACATTGTTCTTTTTTGATTTGCAGGTTCCTAAAGCTAACCAATGAAAATGTTCAAAGAACTTGATGGTGGAAGTTCCAGTAGAGTGATTATTCCAGTAACAACACATTTTAGCATGGATCAGTCCCATATGTACATCTTTATAATGGAACTGAATGCTTATTATTGCTGGATTTCTTGGTTATATTTTCAATATTAAACCATGATTAGCACACCAAATTTATCCTTGCTTATATATGTGATTTGTGTTATATATGGTCAACGTGTGATGTGGATTGGAGTTATTTTTCCTTGATTATGCGTGTTTCCTATTTCCGGGTTTTCCTTGAAATTACTGAATACTACATTTCCTATTTCCCACTCTGTTTCCTTTTTGTGGTTTTGTGATTTTTTTTGTAGGTTTAATAGGGCCAATGAACCAAAACTTGTGAAATAAGGGGCAATACTTGAATGTGACTCTTGGTACATGTTTAGAAATGATTAAGAGATATGCCATGTTAGTTCATTTGGGGTATTATCTGTGTGTGCATCTTTGCCAATGACTTGACATCACGGCGCCCCCTGCACATAGAGTAAGGATTTTGTGAATCTTTTCCCCATAGAGTAAGGATTTTGTGAATCTTTCCTTAATAGTTTCTTAATCAACAAGTTAATAAACTAGGAATCTAAAAGTGTTATGTTAAAGCATTGACACCATACATTTAGTTTTACTAAAAATAAATGTGTTAAACAAGAATAATGAAAAACATTGGACATGTTTTCTCCGATATATCTACATATGGCCCGATATATCACCCGATATTCGACGCCTGATATGTAAAAGCAAAACCGATACGAACATGATATCGATATTTTAAAGCTTGATTAGGAGTACTTAAGAGTGCTAGATTATATTCATAGAAGACTTGCGTTGTCCTTGATGGACCATCTAGAGGTTTCGATGGCCCATCAACAGGCTTCGATGGTCCATCTAGAGGTGGTGCACGGTGAGGCGGCACTTTGCAGTGAGCTTGAAACGAAAAGTTCAGATGTCTCTGAGGGAGTCCTGGACTAGGGGGTGTCCGGACAGCCGGACTATCATCATCGGCCAGACTCCAAGACTATGAAGATACAAGATTGAAGACTTCGTCTCGTGTCCGGATGGGACTTTCCTTGGCGTGGAAGGCAAGCTTGGCGATACGGATATGTAGATTTCCTACCATTGTAACCGACTCTGTGTAACCCTAGCCCTCTCGATGTCTATATAAACTGGAGGGTTTTAGTCCGTAGGACACCAACGATTACAACAATCATACCATAGGCTAGCTTCTAGGGTTTAGCCTCCTTGATCTCGTGGTAGATCCACTCTTGTACTACCCATATCATCAATATCAATCAAGCAGGAGTAGGGTTTTACCTCCATCGAGAGGGCCCGAACCTGGGTAAAAACATCGTGTCCCTTGTCTCCTGTTACCATCCGCCTAGACGCACAGTTCGGGACCCCCTACCCGAGATCCGCCAGTTTTGACACCGACATTGGTGCTTTCATTGAGAGTTCCTCTGTGTCGTCACCGATAGGCTTGATGGCTTCTTCAATCAACAACAACGCAGTCCTGGGTGAGACTTTTCTCCCCGGACAGATCTTCGTATTCGGCGGCTTCGCACTGCAGGCCAATTCACTTGGCCATCTGGAGCAGATCGAAAGCTACGCCCCTGGCCATCAGGTCAAATTTGGGAGCCTAAACTTCACGGCGGATATCCGCGGAGACTTGATCTTTGATGGATCCGAGTCGCAGCCGAGCGTGCCGCACTGTCACGATGGGCATGATCTAACTCTGCCGCCGAACAGTACCTTGGAGGCCGCACACGAATCCGCTCCGACCCATAGTCCGAAGCCGATTGCGTAGATCGAGGACGGGTGGCTGGACACCGCCTCGGGAGCTGCAACTTCCATGGCGATGGAGCCGAACACTGACCTCGTCCCTTATAAAGCTCATGACTCCGAGGTGCCAGACTCCCTGCCGGACTCCGAACCTCCCGCGCCCCTGCCAATCGAATCCGATTGGGCGCCGATCATGGAGTTCACCGCTGAGGACATCTTTCAGCACTCACCCTTTGGCGACATCCTAAAATCGCTAAAGCATCTCTCGCTATCTGGAGAGCCCTGGCCGGACTACAGCCAGGATGGTTGGGATGCGGACGACGAAGAAATTCAAAGCCCACCCACCACCCACTTTGTAGCCACTGTCGACGATCTAACCAACATGCTAGACTACGACTCCGAGGATATCGACGGTATGGACGACGATGCCGGAGACGATCAAGAACCAGCGCCTACAGGGCACTGGAAGACCACCTCGTCATACGACATATACATGGTGGACACCCCAAAAGATGGGGACGGCTAAGAAGCAGCAGAGGCAGATTCCTTAAAGAAACAGCCCAAGCGCCGACATCAGCGGCCGCCGCTCTAAATCCCGCCGAAGCAAGAATGGAGATTCCGGCACAGGAGATAATAACACCCCAGAAAGTGCCGAAGACAATCCCCTCTAGCAAGATTGAGCATAGGAGGACGCAGAAGCCAGCCCTCACGAGAGAGCAGCAGATGAAGAGGTCGAGGATGATAATTACACACCTCCCTCCGGAGACGAGGCAAGCCTCGATGACGGCGAATTCGTCGTGCCTGAGGATCCCGTCGAACAAGAGCGTTTCAGACGCAGGCTAATGGCCACAGCAAATAGCCTAAAGACAAAGCAGCAACAGCTTCAAGCTGATCAAGACCTGCTGGCCGACAGATGGACCGAGGTCCTCGCGGCCGAAGAGTATGAACTCGAACGCCCCTCCAAAAGCTACCCAAAACGCAAGTTGCTCCCCCGACTAGAGGAGGAAGCATACAAACCTTCATCACCAGCGCACAATACGGCAGACTGACCACCTCGTGGCCGCGACAGAGAGGCATCTAGGCCCTCCACCAGAACCGTACCCCGGCACCGCTCAAAAAGTACGAAGCCACGGGGTAACGCGCCGGACTTGCGGGATATATTGGAGGACAAGGCAAGACAATCCAGATCTATCTATGGATCACGTGGGCGCCCCACGACCTACGACGAATACCGTCGTGCCGGACACAGCAACTCCGGCTGGGCCGAACACAGCAGACAACGCGCTCTTGAGCTACGTCGTGATATTGCTCAATACAGAGGCGCCGCACACCCACTATGCTTCACTGACGAAGTAATGGATCATCAAATCCCTGAAGGGTTTAAACCCGTAAACATTGAATCCTACGATGGCACGACAGACCCCGCGGTTTGGATCAAAGATTATCTCCTTCATATCCATATGGCCCGCGGAGACGATCTCCATGCCATCAAGTATCTCCCACTCAAGCTTAAAGGACCAGCTCGACATTGGCTTAACAGCTTGCCCACAGAGTCAATTGGGTGTCGGGAGGACCTGGAAGCCGCATTCCTCGACAACTTCCAGGGCACATATGTGCGACCACCAGACGCCGATGACCTAAGACACATATTTCAGCAGCCAGACGAATCAGCCAGACAATTCTGGACACGGTTCTTAACAAAGAAAAATCAAATCGTCGACTGTCTAGATGC